GCAGGAAGACGCCGCCAGCCATTCATACGCCTGCACACAGCTGAGGGCGGGCCCTCTGGGGAAGTCCATTTTGAGGGGCAGAATGACATCGGCATTCACAGGGTTGAGAAGAAAGGGGGCACCATATTCGTCAGGACTTCAGCATTACAAGGATGGAAACCCAGCTCAAATGAACTTAAGAACAAATGAAAGTGAGCTTGGAGGATCCAAGGAAGACTGAAGGAGGCCAAAGGCCTTCAACCAAACGTTGTATGTACTAACTCAACACTCTCTGTTCACCTCAAATCTCTGCTCGTCTCTGTTAGCAGCCTCTGCAGAGAGTTCTTGCCCCGGGGCAGAAAGATGACCACCAAGAGCCCTAAATTAATATATTCCATTTAGCAGCACCAGGAGAAAGACAGAGTGTTCGCCCCAGCCTCCATGTCCTCATCCCATTGAAGGATTCTGACTGGCCCTGACTGGGTCATGTGTCCACCCTGTGGACCAGTCACTGTTGCCAAGGAGATGAGGTACTATGATAGGCCATGCCTAGATGGTGAGTCCATTCTCATGCCCAGAGGGACAGAGTGCTATCACTGGCAGCAGCTCCAGAGCTGCCTGGAAGGGGGAGGTGCTACCTCGAGGAGAGCTGGGCAGACAAAACAGTGGAGCCATCCCAGGAACTGCAAAGGCAGCCCTGAGAAATGAACTTCATTTACATGTTTTTCTTTTCAAGATCTTTCCAGGGGCTCCTCAAACTACAGATGAGCATTTGTATAAATATAAATTCACAAGATTACACAATTTACATGTAAAATGGGGCCAGTTTTCTCAGGAGGTTCATAAACCAGCTCTGAAGCAATTCTAAAGGAATTGTGACAAAATGGTTTTTAGCATTAGCAATATTACGAGAAAAACACATAAAGACTCCCAAGATGCCCACCAGGAGGACAACTTTCCTTTGAATGTAGGAGTGTTATTTTGGGTTTTTGAAAATCCAGACTATGTGTAAAATTATTTGGCAATAACTAAATCAATACAAATATAGTATTACCAAAATATGCTTGCACCTTAGTGTAAATGTTTTCCTTGTAGAACTAAGAACGCAGGAAAACAGGAATGGTGTGAACTTTGATTAGATATAGAGCAGGGTTTTTTATCTGGGGTTTGGACCCCAAACTATCTATTGTTATCAGATCAGGATCCCCTGGGGAACTTGTTAACATGAGAAGAGACTGGGTCCCAGCCCAGAGACGTGGTCAGGTGGGTCTGGGGGTGGGGCCAGATGGCCTTATTTTTTGAATGCTGGACAGATGGTTTTGACTAGCCACTGCCCTCAGACAGTGTTCCTCAGGGTGGGCTAGTCTCCCGGCACCAGAACCTCAAGAGCCTGTTAAAATGCATATTCTTGGGCCCCACCTAGGCCTGCCAGATCCGACTTGGTGAAGAGCAGAGCTATAACTCTACAGTCTATTAAGCTCTCAAGTGACTTTCCTAAAAATAATTTTTATTTTGAGACAATTATAGATTCCCAGAAAGTTGCAAAACAAAATGTACAGAGAGGTCCCAGGGACCCTTTGTCCAGTTTCCCCCAATGGGGAATTAGAGTACATTATCAAAACCAGGAATTTGACATTGGTATAATCCACAATGCTTGTTCGGATTGTATTAGGTTTATGCACCCGTGTGTGTGTGTGTGTGTGTGTGTGTGTGTGTGTGTGTGTGTGAGAGAGAGAGAGAGAGAGAGAATAGTATTTTATGCAAGTACATCACATGTGTAGGTTTGTGTAACCACCACCGCAGCCAATATACAGAACTGTCCCATCACCACAAGGCTCCTAGTGCTACCCTTTATAGCCACACCAACCCATCATCAACCCTTCTCTAACCTCTGGCAACTACTAATCTCTGCTCCAATCTCTATAATTTTGTTATTTCAAAAATGAAAAAGCTGTGGTACATTTACACCATAAAGTAGTGTGCAGCTGTACAAAAGAAGGATCTCACCCGGCCAGCGTGGCTCAGTGGTTGAGCGTCAACCTGTGAACCAGGAGGTCACTGTTCGATTGCCGGTCAGGACACATGCCTAGGTTGTGGGCATGATCCCCAATGTGGGGGTGCAGGAGGCAGCCAATCAATGATTCTCTCTCATCATTAATGTTTCTCTCTCCATCTCCCTCTCCATTCCTCTCTGAAATTAATTTTTAAAAAAATATTTTTTTAAAGAAGGATCTCCTACCCTTGGCAACAGCATGGAGGGACCTGGAGAGTATTATGCTCAGCAAAATAAGCCAGTCAAGTATCACATGATTTCACTTATATGTGAAATCTAATGAACAAAATAAACAGATGAACAAAATAGATCCAGAAACATAGAGGCATGGAGCAGATTGCAGAATCTCAGAGGGCAGGGGAAGGTGGAGACAGGAAGAGATTAACCAAAGAACTTATATGCATATATGTATGGCCCATGGACAGACAATAGTGTGATGAAGGCCTGGGGTGGGGCAGGAGCCAGGTGGAGGGGAGCAAAGAGGGAATAATAGGGGACAACTGTAATACTCACAACAATACAAATAAAATTTTTAAAACTCAGGAAATGTCATACAAGTGGAATCATATAATATGAAATTTTTTCCTCAAAAGCAGGGGCAGAGTTATACAAGATTTTTTTAAAATAAGTTTGAGAATTTAAAATATATACGAACTCTCTCTAGAATAGCTTTTTTTCACTCACACAACTCCCTTGAGATCCACCCAAATCAGTGTAAGTGTTAATAGTTTGGGGCCTTTTTCTTACAGCAGGAGTATTCCATTGCATGGAGGTAGCACTGCTTGTTCAGCCATCCATCTGCTGAAGAACATTTGATTTGCTTTCAGTTTTTGTCTGTTACAAATGAAGCTGCTATGAACATCCATGTCCATGTTTTCTGTGTGAACATAAGTCTTCATTTCTCTGGGATAAATACCCGGTGCGATGGCCGGGTCATATAGTGAGTGCATGTTTAGTTGTATAAGAAACCGCCAAACTGTTTTCCAAAGTGGCTGTGCCATTTTCCATTCCCACCACCAAGGTAGGCGGGATCCAGTCCCTCCACATGCTCGTCAGCATTTGATAGTATTACTTTATCTTAGCCATTCCGAGAGATGTGTAGGAACAGCTCACTGTGGTTTTAATTAGCATTTCCCAAATGGCTAATGATAGTGAGCATCTTTTCATGTGCTTACTTGGCATCTGTATATCCTCTCTGGTGAAACATTTGTCCACTTTTTTATAGAATATGTACTCTAGATGCAAATTCTTTGTCAAATATATCGTTGGAAAAAATTTCTCCCAGCCTGAAGATTACCTTTTCATCAAAACAAGGTCTTTTAGGGAGCAAAAACAAATTTTGTTGGATGAAGTCCATTTCATTAATTTTTGCCTGTGATAGGTTGTACTTTGGGTGTTGAATCTAAGAACTATTTGCCTCCTAAATCCCCAAAATTGTCTCCTATTGTTTTCTAAAAGTTTAAGTTTTACATGTAAGTCTGTAATCCATTTTGAAGTAATTTTTTGTATACGGTGTGAGGTCATTGTTTGGCCAGTGTATGTCCAATTGCCCCAGCACTACTTGCTGAAAAGGCTTTGCTTTTGTATCTTTGTCTAAAATCAATTGAGGATATTTGTATGGGTGTATTTCTGGGTTCTCTACTCTGTTCCATTCACCTATGTGTCTACTTTTCTGCCAATACCATCCAGTCTAAAGTACTGCAGTCAAATCTTGGAATCTGGTAGACGGATTCCTCCCACTTCATTCTTCTTTTTCAAAATTGATTTAGTTACTTTAACAACTTTGCCTTTCCATGTAAGTTTTAAAATAAGCTTGCCTGTGCCTAAAAAAGTTCTCACTGTGATTTTGATAGGAATTGCATTAAACTTATGGACCAGTTTTGCAAGAATTGACATCTTTACAGTGTGGAGTCTTCCAATCCATGAACATCATATATCTCTCCATTTATTTAGGTCTTCTTTGATTTTTTAATATGCATTGTAAATGGTATCGTATTTCAATTTTGGTTTCCACATGTTCATTGCTAGTATACAGAAATGCTCTACTGATTTTGCATTTGTATGTGTGTTGATCTTGAATTCTGCAACCTTGTTGAACTTATTTATTAGTTCAGGGTTTTTTTATGTCATCTGAAAATAGGGACAATTGCATAATTTTTTTGCAATCTATATGCTTTTAATTTACTTGCCTTGGTGCACTTGCTAGGAGTTCCAGCTCTCTGTTAAATATCCTTGCCTTGTTCCCAATCTCAAGAGAAAGTATTCATTCTTTCACCATTAAATGTGAAGGCTGTGACTGGGTCTTGGTTGCTTTTGTCTCCTCGGCACTTTAATAACTAAATATAACAAGGCATATACGTAAGCACTGCCTCCAGTTAGAATGCATTAGCACCAGCTGACTGACCAGTCCTTGCCCTCATTTCTTCGTTAACGTCCAAGTATCTGTGGAGTTCCTTCATATGCAGATGTGGCAACCAGATGTTCAGCCCTTCCCCAGCAGGTTTAATCTTTCCTGAATTCTCACAAATGCTATTAATTCACTTCAGACTTTTTTCCAAGAATCTTTTTTTTTTCTAGAATGACTCTTTCTCCACTTTTGAACAATGTGGACAATACTGACCTCCGCCATTTTCTTCGTGGTCTTACTGCTGGATCTTATGAATTCCTTATTAAGGTGTTTAAGTTTACAGATCTATCTTTTCTATCAGGCTAGGAGCTCCCTGGATGCAGGGAATCTCCAGGGACTGGTACAGGTAGGATTCTATAAATGTCTGTGGAATGTTAATGTTAGATCATCTCGGCTACACTGCTCCTCAGGTTTAGCTCGTGCACATCCTCCTCTACTCTGCATCTTTACTTCCTGTTTATCTTTTATCCTTCATGCCAAGCCACTACGAATTCTTTTTTGAAAGGATAAATGGATAGGCAGATACAACATATTTTAAACTAATTCTTTTATTCCTCCCAGGTACTATCTCGGCCGTCGGATGTTTATCGTTATCTCGGAGCCAGACATGATCAAGCAGGTGTTGGTTGAGAACTTCAGTAGTTTTACCAACAGAATGGTATGTAGTGTTCTTTCTGTATATGGGTGCATGGGGAATTATTCTCAGATGCCAGGACTGCACATCACGTCTAATAGGGTCATGATTGGGTCTCTTATCAGGTTTAGATCAGCTCAACTCAAAATTGAGCTCCCCAGTGAATTCAGGTTTTCAAAAGAGATGTACAGGACTGGTGAAAAAGAATGGAATTTACCTTTAAGAAATGCTTCAAGACAGCTAAAGAGCAAGAGAAGTTGTGGTTATAAAAATGCTAAAACCAGGAGGGTTGTTCAAAGCTAGAAGAATCTAGAGGGCACAGGTCAAGTGACTGAGGAAGACCCAGCAAGGTTAATAAATGACAGAGAAAAAGCAAAATTTTGAGCCTCTTGTGCTGATATCTTTCCCAGAGAGTATAAAATTCTTGAGGCTGGAAAGGAAAGACAAGCAACATTAAGAGGGAAATTTGTCCCCAGGTAGCAGGAGGAGCCTGTACGTGACCCCTTTATGTCAGTTCAAGTCTCCGACCCACTAAAGGATGTACGTACTCCATCTTTTTAAAAAGTATATTTCCTACTTTTTATCTTTGATGAGAAATCCCAAGGGATGGAAGAGGTGACAGAGAATGGCAGAGGTCAGAGTAGTCCATATTTTCCAAAAGTGGGGAAATAAGAATTCTAGCAGAGAAGACCAATAGCATTTATGTTGGTTCTTAAAATGAGTCTAAAGTGAATAAACACTTGTTTGTGAGACTTCAGAGAATCACTATGTGCCAACTTTTTTTTTTGGTCAAATTAAACTCATCTCCCATTCGTATGTGGATAGTTGGTAACGTAGTCACTCTTGTTGGTTATTTGGCAAACTTTTGCCATATGCCAGGCACTGTCTGGGTGCTGGTCATAAAGAGATAGAAGACTCAGCCTTGTCCTCAAGGAGTTCAAGGTCTAAGGACAGAGGCCGACAGGCAGAGGGACCAGTACACTATGGTAGGGTGAGTGTACTGCTGTCGAAACACTGTGACACCCAGGATGGGGACAGAAGAAGGCTTATTAGATGGGAGATTTCGGGGGTTGAATCTTAAAGAAAGTTGCATAGCCCCCCTGTGTTCTGTGCTGGTTGAGCCACCCAGAGTGTTTTGTTCTCATTAAATTTCATAAGAACTTATGAGATTGGTACAATTATCATCTCTATTGAACAGACAAGGGGACTAAGACCTGATGAAGTGACCACCCTGGTCACATGACTAGTAGGAAGAGCAGGGATTCACATGCCATCTCCCAACTCAAGTCCAGGGCGCTTTTTCCTGCCACGACTATGACAGTTGCCTCAGGGGACATTTCTGGATTGTCAACGTTTCACTGAGTAGTTGGCTGCTCACCCAAACATGCTCATTGTCCAGCCCTGAGCTTCATGCCCAGTTCCAGACACCGCATGGCCACTAGAAGGTGGCCTGGAGGGATGGCTGAAGGAACTGCAGAAGTTCACTATGCTGCTTCTAGGTTCTCTTCCCCGAACATTATATTGCTGTTCCCCTGTTCAAGTTCAAGGTCTTCTGTGGCGTTCGGCTCTGAGAGACTGTGCCTGATAGTAAATGCAATTCTCGATTTTTGCTCAAAGAGTGTTGATTATAGAATCGGCAGAAGCCAGTGAGTCACAGGGCCCAGACCGCCAAGCTGTGTCTCAGCAGGCAGCGAAGGCACTCTGAGAGCCTGCCACGGTTCTTGAGTACCCTTAACCCCTAAGCAGTGAGATGGGACGTGGCAGCCACGTGCCTCCCTATTGTTTCATGTGACACCCAGATGTTACCAAGATCCTGACAGCTGACTTGGAAGAGGGCTGCCCTCTAATTGATATATTAGGAGCAGACATTCACTCAACATACACATGCAAGCAGTTGCACCAACAAAGTTGCCCCACCTTCAGTCCACTTCTCCTCTAAATCATTTGTCTGTCCTCCCTAATTTTTTTCAACCCCAGACTAAGGTCTCCAGGCCCCAAATTCAGAATATGGTTCTAATTTCCTTCTTGCACTCAACACAGTGTCCTCAGGATGAAGTCCCTGATGAGATTTGGGGGCCTCTGTACTTTAGATACATTTCATATCCTCCAATCTCACCTCTCACTGCTCCCCAATACACGCTGTCACTCCAGGGGGACCAGCCTCTCCAGTCTCTCGGTAACCTCCATTGGAAAGCCCTGCCCCAGGGCCTTTGCTCGTGCTGACACTCCCACTAGAATTGGAGGCAGCATAACCGTGGGTTTTGCATTTACCAGTGATGTGAACTTAAGAAAATCACTGAACTCCTTTAAGCCTCTCCTTCCTCCTTTGGAAGGTGGGGAGATGATCTACCTTGGGCTGGTGAAGGCTAAATGAGATCACACATGTAAATCCCGCCTTACATGCAGGCGAGACAAGCACTCAGCGAGCACTAGCTGCTATTAATAGGAGGACCTCCACCTCTTGGCATCTGTCCAATCCCTAGCTAATCTTCCAGGCTGTCCTCCAGTTCTGCCTCCTCCATGAAGCCTTCCCTACTTTTCTCCTTCTCTCAACTCTTATAACACTTATCATCAGCGTCACTCAATTTCACGACTGAGCCTCTGTGCCCCCTACTACTTACAGTACATGAACGTATGGCTTTCACCCTAATTTGATCATTAGCTCTTTAAGGCTTGTACTACGGTTTGTACCCCAAGCACATAAGGACTATTCAGTATCCAGTATGTCCCTGTTCAAACTGAGCTGAATCCCCATCAACTTGACACTCTCCCTAGAAGTACTAGGCATTACCTGAACCTGAAAGTCAATATACACTTTCACTTCTCTTCTTCATAAACATGGAAGAAGACCCATCAAAGATTAGAGCTCTAGGAAACGCCAATGTTTATACTTTTCCATCTGGGGATACAGCCACTTCTCTAGCTTTGTTTACAGACTTTCAGCCAATTCCATATTGATGACAAAACAATCCTTAGTGACTCCATTTTTAAAAAACCATCTTACAGTGGGATTTTTCTCCCGGTTTTTGAAAGTCAAATTAAATTGGGTTCTGTGGTTCCCTCTTATCCATCTGCTTATTTATCTGCTCAAAGAACTCAAGATTAGCGAGGCGTGATTTCTCCTTGCGACACCATGCTGCCTCCCCTCCAATAAGCCATGTTTATGTAGGTGTTCAGCTACTCAGCTTTATTATACATTCACTCAGTAAACATTAACCGCTTACTCCATGCAAGCTTCTACCAAATGGTCCCTTGTGATACAGAAAACACTTCAGCATATTAGTTTGCTACGTTAGGTGAAAAGGAACTTAAATAATGCATGGCTTCACTTTCTGTTGTGAGAACCCATGTTTGTTCACAAATTCACATTTGACACATGTGGGTCCCACCAACCTGGTGATGTGGGAGGGTGATGTGAGCTCTACGCACCCATGAGGAATTGATAGAGTATACTGGCTGGAAGTGGGGACACCACAAGGAACTCCTGGACATATGTTGCTATTGAGCAAATACTTGAATTCAGAAGTTGCTGAATGAAATGATTATTTTTTCAAACTCCAGAACACTGAGCTGGACTGACTGTGGGTCAGACCCAGGGTGGCAATTCTTACAACATGTCCCCATCACATCTATATATATATAAAAGGCTAATATGCTAAGTGTCCCTCCGACTGTCCGCCCGGTCGCTATGATGCACACTGACCACCAGGGCGCAGAAGCTCAACACAGGAGCTGCTGTGACGTGCACTGGCCATTTACAAAGAAATTTTAGCACTGAAGACCTGGTGCTAACAAAGCAACACTCGGCTTCCCCCAAGTGGTACATAGGCTCTGCCACCACCCCGGAGTGACAGCCCACCAAATCGCAGCCAATGCTGCCAAGACCCCATGGCACTAAATGCAGCCCACAGCCCAGCCCAGCCGGGAAATGTTTGCTGTGGGCACTAGATAGCAATGCCTGACTTCCTCTCCCTAGTGACTAGCCTCCTTGGAGTTTCTTCAGCCCAGGAACATGACTTGCTTTATAGCCAGGTGCAAACATTTCACACTTTAACTGAATGTCTGCGAAGCGTTTTCCCGTACCTCATCTCATTTGATCCTCACAGAAGTCCTGAAGTAGGTATATAGAAGACTTGGTAGAATCCTATTTTCTTTTCATTAGCCAGAAAATGGAGATTTAGAAAGTTTAGAAACTTGACCCGACTGAAAAGAAGTAAGAAATGGTGGACCTTGAAAATGACTTCAGGTTTTCTCACTGCACAGACTATAGTCAAACACTGCTGCAGTTAAATATTTTACCCTTTGTTCTTGAAAGGGCGAGGGCTAGGCCCTCCACCTTCCCCCAGGGTAAGGGCCATCTTGCCCCAGGGTAAGGGCTACGTCCTCCATCTTACCTTGGCCACGTGTTTTGGCAAGGAGCTTCTTCCCGGAAGTTAAGACTCTGCTAGCCACACCCAGGAACAAGACATCAACTTGCACCTGGCCAATCGGCAAAGCACAGTCCTTTCTCCTCCCCTTACTCCAACCCCCCCTATATAACCGGTCTCGAGGCGGGGTTCGCTCTCTTGGCCACTTGGCTAGCCGATGTGTCGGTGAGTCTGGTGGATGGGAGCTCAAGCTAGCTTGAAATACAGATTCTTATGCTTTTGCATCGGACTGCTGGCTCCCTGTTGGTTTCTTGGGAATCTTGAAATCTGGGCATAACATTTGGGGGCTCGTCCGGGATTCCCAGGACCATGTAGGGGATCCTCAATCCGTAGAATCTGCCTAGCCGCGGTAAGTGTCTGTGTGTTGTGTATTCTGTCCTGTGTGAGCTCACTTCTGGAATCGGTGCCTGAGGGGTCCAGGCGGACGCGCCGTGTACGACCACAGGTGGGGGAGAGTTAGAAGACGTTTCTGCTCCCCACGAGGAATGTGTATCTCCTCACGGATATGAGAGATGTGTATTCCTCTCATGAGAGATGTGTATTCCTCTCGCAGATTTGAGACGAGGCGGGTCGGTTCTCGCCGGTTTGGCTTAACGC